CTGCCTCAGCCTCCCGCGTAGCTGGGACTACAGGCATGGCCACCATGCCGGCTAATTTTTTGTATATATATTTTTAGTCGGTCAATTAATTTCTTTCTATTTTTAGAAGAGATGGGGTCTCGCTCTTGCTCAGGCTGGTTTCGAACTCCAGACCTCGAGCAATCCACCCACCTTGGCCTCCCAGAGTGCTAGGAAAGTTTAAGTTTTTAAAGAGAGTCTTCCCTAGGAAACAAGGAAGGCTGCTAACAGGACTCACACAATCCAAGACAAATAGCCCATTCCCACAGTGCATGATGAGGCCTTAGAAAGGAAGTGGGGAGCGCGTCACGTGTGTACACCAGGCCTCCCCTGTGGGGAGTGTGGCCAGTGCAAGGTGCTCCAGAGGAGATAGGTTTTCAGCCCACTTGCTGGGTGACCTAAGCCAATCCCTCAGATTCCCCAAACTTTGGCCTCCTTATCTATAAAATTAAGGAATTGGACTAGTTGATCTCTGATCTAATTTATAGTTTTGACAACTGAGGATTCTCTAATTTCTTTCACCAGGTCTTTATTCTATATTATCCTTCTTTTATACCCCTGACACACTAAAGAAGTGACATATATTGCAATCTAATTGCTTCCTAGATCATCTAACTTTAAAATTCTTTAGGATTCCATTAGTCTACAAATGTGACCCAAAGTCAAGCCTCCCTGGCGATAGGAATTATGCACCTTTAAGAGCCCAAACTCTGAAACTCCTCCAAGCGCTGCTTCCTCCCAGCCTCGGCTCACCCCCCACCCCAACCACCCCCACCCCCACCCACGACCCCACCAGCACCTGCCCTTCTCCACCCTGGATTTCCCCCTCCCAACCACTCCTGATCACAAGTCTCTGGCCTCCCTTCTGGTTTCTTTTGTGTCTCTGAACCAGCTGGCCAGACATTTCTAATATTCTCTCACGAACACCTAAACCAGTGATTCTCAAAGTGAGGCCCCCAGACCAGCAACATCGCATCAGCCTCAGCCGGGAACTTGTTAGAAATAGGGAATCCAGGTGGGGCACAGTGGCTAACACCTATAATCCTAGCACTCTGGGAGACCGAGGCGGGTGGATTGCTCGAGGTCAGGAGTTCAAACCAGCCTGAGCAAGAGCGAGACCCCGTCTCTACTATAAATAGAAAGAAATTAATTGGCCAACTAATATATATAGAAAAAATTAGCCGGGCGTGGTGGTGCATGCCTGTAGTCCCAGCTACTCGGGAGGCTGGCAGAAGGATTGCTTGAGCCCAGGAGTTTGAGGTTGCTGTGAGCTAGGCTGACCTGCAGGCACTCACTCTAGCCTGGGCAACAAAGCAAGACTCTGTCTCAAAACAAACAAACAAAAAAAAGAAATAGGGAATCCTGGGCCCCGCCTCAGACCTGCCCAGTCAGAGCTCTGGGGGAGGAGCCCAGAAGTTTGCGTTTTAATTAACAAGCCCTCCTGGAGACCAGATACAAGCTACAGTTGAGAACTGCCACCCTGATAGAGGTGGTCCTTCAGCTATCTCTAGCCTTGGAGAAAGTCTACTCCAAGGTTTGATTTTATGTGTAAGCAAGGAATATGGTGAAGTGAATAAAAAAAAAAAAAGCCCCAAGGTTTGACCTTTGGCCTGGTTTCTGGGCAGGGCAGCTGAAGGCAAAACAATTTAGCAGCTTCTCCCTTACCCCCTCTCCAGCCAGCGCAGTCCCTAAGGCAGGAGCGACAGCAGAACTAAGTGGTCAGAAGCAGAGACCAGACATTTCTCAGTCTGAGGGATGCAAAATCCACTTTAAATGCTTGACATTTAAAAGTTCTGTATTTCTTCCTGCATTTGCCATTTTACAGTTTCTCGAAGGAAGTTACATTCCTCAGTTTCCCTTTGGTAAACAGGATCAGGTGTCAGAACAAGGGTCAGCTCAAAGAACCCTGCTGCACTCTGGACACTCCCCATCTACCTGAGCTCGTCCACACCTGCAGTCTCCTGCAGGCTCCCGAGTCTTGCTCTGTGGGCCTTTGTGGGCCCTTGTTTACCTGAGATATTGTTCTGGCCCTCTCAGAAACAGGACTCTGACACATTGGCAGCCGTGAGCAGCAGTTTGGGGTCGCACATCTGCAGAAGCAAGAGAGTGTAATTGCCTTAGTCTGGTGCGTGCTGTTCCCAAACCAGTACAGCATCTCCTTCATCTTCTGTTCTATGGTTTTATCCAACATCTGGTTCAAGGGTACCTCACGGTTTTCCCCTCCTTCTTGGCTGAGGTTGATCCGGGACCTGCTATAGATGAAATCCTTCCCTGTGTGGCCTGAAGGTAATTTTGGAAATAATGTAACAAATATAAGTTATTTAGCTGCTCCAGAATGCTAACTAGAAACCTCGTCTGCGATATCTCATTGATCCTCCGGAATCTCC